GTGGAAATCTTCAAGAAGGGGGAAGTGGGAAGTGGGGGCGGTGACAACTACATCAAGAGAAGGAGGAGGGGGGGGGTTAGCCGGATCAGGAATGGGACACACCCAGGGTCTGGGAGGAGAACAAAGTTTGTTGGCCTGTGAACAACTTGAAAGTGTCGTCTCGGCAGTCTTTCCCATTGGTTTTCAGTCGAGGACCAGGGGCGCCACTGAAGGATATTGTTGTTGACCCTCAGCCATTTGTAGTGCAACTCTTTTAAGTATTTTTCTGGATTCTTTTTTTCTTCTTCTTCTTTTTTCTTTGGGTGCTGGGGCTGCTTTGAACCTTGCCTGGGTTTCATGCCCGGCTGGGCACCTGGGCATGTATCCGGGCACAAGTTGGGTGCCCGGGCACCCGAACAAACAGCCTAGTTGTTTGTTTGTTTTTTCCCCCCTGAGAGATTTGACCTCTCGCGGGTACTCCTGCAGGGGTTCCCCGTACGTATAGCCTATTCGGAGTAGTGCTAGGGAGTTAGGATGGTAGTGAACGGTGAATTGAGAGAAGAATAAAGCCTAGTTTTTTTTTTTTTAAGCAATGAATTGACGTTGTTTGTGGCATAGTTGTATTCTTCTCTCAATTCACCGCTCACTACCATCCTAAGTTCAAGGCTATACAGGGAACCCCTGCTATGCTATACAGGGAACCCCTGCTATGCTATACAGGGAACCCCTGCTATGCTATACAGGTAACCCCTGCTATGCTATACAGGGAACCCCAGCTATGATATACAGGGAACCCCAGCTATGCTATACAGGGAACCCCTGCTATAAAGGGAACCCCTGCTATGCTATACAAGGAACCCCTGCAAGCATAGAAGGGATTGGATGTTGCCCCTTGTCCTAATGGTTCAGGATGGCAGGGTTGGGGCTGCCGGTGGGGGCTCGGATATTAAAAAAAAAAGAAATTAAAATGTACTGACCCCAGGAATCCTCACAATATACCGCGAGGGCCTGAACAGAATTACTGAGAGCATAACACAGCTTCCTTCAAGCAATGCTTATTATTATTATTTACATTTATTTATTTATTTATCTATTTATTTATTTGTTTATGTCAAAATAAAATTTTGTTCTATGATTTCATTTTTTGGGAAAATTAATAATTATTCTGGTGCCTTAAAGTTGACCGAACTCCTGTGGTACACCAGAGAAATCGAAATTCACAGATTCATCGCGCCCTTTGCCACGCTTCGAGCTTCTTTTGGGTACCCCTCGTTGACGAGGGTGGACGCTTTGTGCCATGCTCCAGGGCCTGGAGGGGTAGACACGTTTGAATTTTTGGACGCTTTGCGCCATGCTCCCGAGCCTGGATGGGTGGACGCTTTTGGATTTTCTTTGCATGTTACTCCTGCATGTTCTGCTGGGGTGCTTTTCGCTCTGCCCCAATACTGTCGGGTAGTAGTCATGCCCGCCTGAATTCATCATACTTCCAATCACTTCACACGATTGTTGCTGCCCGTCACTTCGGCAACAGCAACTGCAAACTCGCTTTGACATCTTTACCTCCCTACCTCCCCCCTCTCTCTCTCTATCACCGACCCACACGCACAAAAAAAAACCCACACAGCCATGGCTGGAGTGGGTGTGTAGAGAAAGAGAGAGGGAGAGAGAGAGAGAGAGAGAGAGAGAGAGAGAGAGAGAGAGAGAGAGAGAGAGAGAGAGAGAGGGTCTTATGGCTGTGACAGGTTAGTCTCTCAGTCCTTACTGCGGATCTTGTCAGGGGTTTGGACCAGCCGGCTGCTACCGTCTTCACCCGAATAGAACACCCGGTCATTGTAGCTGTATTTGATGCAACTTTCTGTCCAGATACGGCCATAATTACCGGCCGTTCTATTCGGGTGAAGGCGGTAGGATCGCAGGGTTGGTGTGCATCAAGTCGACCACTTTGCTCAGGGCAGGGGAGGGGTATCACTAGCTCCGGCCGACCTGGCGAGTCCTCCATCCCCATCGTTCGAATGCATCCTGGGCAGAATGCCGTGGTTCAACCTTCTGCTGAGTTGGTGAAAGTCTTTTTTTTTTTTTTTTTTTTTTTTTTTTGAAACATTTTGGAACAGTTGTGCTTTTTCTCTCAGGGGTATCGATAATAACTCTGGGTGATGCGGTGCATCCGTATCCCATCAGTCAAATGCATCCTGGACAGACTGTCAGTCCAGGTTCAACCTCCTGACGAGTCGGTGAACGTGCGATGAAACAGTCGGGCACAGTTGTGCTTTTCTTAGCGTATACTACGTATAGCGAATATGACAACACACTCAGAATATACTCATGTACGACACCCTGACATGGCATGTTCTATTTACAGACTGTGGTCGCTGGAACAGCAGTGGCTATGCAATTGCAGTCGCTGTGCCTATGATGTCACGCATTGATGTGGGGACCACGTTGCCTGTGCCATCTGTCTGTCTACGCTGTCTCCGTTTCTGTTTTTTTTTATTTTTTTATTTTTTTTTAATTTATTTAATGCGGGAAACCAAGATCTGTATTTACATGCCACACATAGCGTGTTAAGCCACTACCTTCTTCCCCCGAACATAACGCATATGCGTTGTAAACGAATACAAAGCATAGAGTGCGTTCTATTCGAATACAACACATATGCGTTATATTCGAATAGCCCTGAATTTCGAATACAACGCGTATGCGTTCTATTCTAGGCTACCAGAGTGGCCCGGGGTCACTTGCCCGGCCGGGCCAAAAAAAATAAAAATAAAACAATATTTTAGTTTTTCGAGAGTCTGTAGATCTCAATCCAAGAGTCGAACAAGAATGAATGCCACATATAAGAGTAAAAAGTACTAAAAACTAGACTTCCTACTGCTATAGTCAAACAATTGACTGTTGAATATTGAAAATGATATTTTAAATTTTAAATTTGGTGAAGGTGTTTTTTTCTTTTTTTTCAAACAATGGCTCCATTCTGTTCGTGGGGAGCGTCACATGTTGGGAATCGGGCCCAGCGTCCCTTAATAACATGGTTGAGGCCGGGGTCCTCACAGTCTACCCGGAGTAACACATACAGAAACAATAAATAAAAGCAAGTGGCCTGTAGCAAGGCCTTCCCAGCATATGACCTGCTGACAGAAGATATTGATTGATCCCTATCTGATTGGGGGGTGATCCCATAGGACCTCTGAGTAGAAAAGTTCGATGCCTTCCACTATGCCCGCCCATTGGTATGGGAAGGACCATTTCTTCTGAAGTTGTAAAGTAGCCATCTCAAGTGAAGGAGATCTGTTCCTAATTCTGTACCAATCTGCTGTAATATCTAGATGCATGGAATGTGAATGGGGATATCAAGGAATCTCCTGTCTCTTCTGGCTATCCAGATTTCCCAGAAAGCTCTTTGGTGAAGAATTTTGATGTGACCCTGACACAAAAGTTGTTCAGTTTATTTTTTTGCATAACATAGTTTTTTTTCGGATATTTTGGATTTTTTTTTTTTTTTTTTTTGCTGGGACCTTCCCTGGTCCTTGCACGGGCTGGCCACCCGGGACCCGGGCGGCCCGGCTGGTAGCCTAGGTTCTATTCGATTTTTTTTTCAAATTTTGAAACTTGAATATACGACGCATATGCATTCTATTCGATTTTTTTTTTCAAATTTTGAAACTCGAATACAACGCATATGCGTTATGTTCGGGGGAAGAAGGTAGTAGTACCTTTGCTGTCCG